ATATCATTTATAATATAATATTAACATTAAAATAACAATATATACTAAAACTACACCACTAACAATACAGCCTACTATCACAGGTACTAAAACAGAGATATCATTTATAATATAATATCAACATTAAAATAACAATATATACTAAAACTACACCACCAACAATACAGCCTACTATCACAGATACTAAAACAGAGATATCATTTATAATATAATATTAACATTAAAATAACAATATATACTAAAACTACACCACCAACAATACAGCCTACTATCACAGATACTAAAACAGAGATATCATTTATAATATAATATTAACATTAAAATAACAATATATACTAAAACTACACCACTAACAATACAGCCTACTATCACAGGTACTAAAACAGAGATATCATTTATAATATAATATTAACATTAAAATAACAATATACACTAAATATACACTACTAACAATACAACCTACTATCACAGATACTAAAACAGAGATATCATTTATAATATAATATTAACATTAAAATAACAATATATACTAAAACTACACCACTAAGAATACAGCCTACTATCACATGTACTAAAACAGAGATATCATTTATAATATAATATTAATATTAAAATAACAATATATACTAAAACTTTACCACTAAGAATACAGCCTACTATCACAGATACTAAAACAGAGATATCATTTATAATATAATATTAATATTAAAATAACAATATATACTAAAACTACACCACTAAGAATACAGCCTACTATCACAGTTACTAAAACAGAGATATCATTTATAATATAATATTAACATTAAATAACAATATATACTAAAACTACACCACTAAAAATACAGCCTACTATCACAGGTACTAAAACGGAGATATCATTTATAATATAATATTAACATTAGAATAACAATATATACTAAAACTACACCACTAACAATACAGCCTACTATCACAGGTACTAAAACAGAGATATCATTTATAATGAAATATTTTCATCAAAATAATAATATGTACTAAAACTACACCACCAACAATACAGCCTACTATCACAGGTACTAAAACAGAGATATCATTTATAATATAATATTAACATTAAAATAACAATATATACTAAAACTACACCACCAACAATACAGCCTACTATCACAGGTACTAAAACAGAGATATCATTTATAATATAATATTAACATTAAAATAATAATATGTACTAAAACTACACCACTAACAAACTTAGTGGGAAAAGTTATACTATTGAAGATAGATTTTTTGTCTTGTTTGTGGGATTTCTATAATTCAAAATATTACTTACTATCTAAGTCTTGGTTCTGAGATTCTGTACCTCTGGTTGTAAAGTCAATCTGTCCAGACGCACCTGTTGTACTACTGTATTGTAAGTTATTACCACCGACAGTTGTCCAGAGACTACGGCAGGTTAAATTAACTCGTGAACCTGAAAAATTAGGTGATTTCTTCAAAACCATTTTGCTTATTGTTACAATTGGAGCGAAATTTAGAACTTAAGAGCGTTAAGTGGACATTTCAAGCGATTGTACTTGATCCTATTAATGGCCACATATTTATGAACAATACCTGGAATACCTGGAACCTACGAGCACTACCTGATAACATAAGCGATCTACTCAGTCCTCCGATTTGTGGTATCGGAAAATGTATTGTATTGTAAGCGTTTCGGATCGAAAAAAGGGCCGATTAAAAGAACATTTATTCAACGGGTATAATCTGGTCCAGATTGGAAAAAAGGTAAAATGTGGACACTATTACGTGGTTAAGAACATTTGGTCACTTTTGGCACTTCCGTTACGCCTGTAGTCCTGAACCACCAGCCTATGGTGTTTGAACTACCAAAATCAATTGAAAACTTATTATCTGAAATCGATATCGATGATCACAACTACAGGAAAGCATTGTTCTATAGTCGAACGCCATTATAAGGTCTATACAGATAAACAAAAAACAATACAATTATGATTAAAATGCTTAGATGTATGTTTCGGTTCGTGTTTCTTTCAACGGTAGATGACTTCACCATTGCCACCCGCAATCTAACGCCATTTCATACATCTCATATTTGGTCCATGTTATATTCAACCAATCAAATCCCGTATTCAATAAAGGTTTTCTTACAATATTGAAAAAATTCAGGGATATTGATTGCTAAGAATTGACTTGTACAGTCTAAATTAGGATGACATTGTTAGCTATCGGGTCAAATCAACAGAACACGATTAAAAGAAGATTCCGGTCAGATCATGTATGACAAGAGTATTAACTTGCAGTTGTACTAATTAAAAAAAGAACAACAAACGAAACAACCAGACATGTACCTTAATTAGATTGTATATAATACTATGTGTAGTAGTGCTGGGTATCGCCAATCATGTTACGATACGATATGTATAGCGATAATGGAGTAATCGTTCCGACACTAATGCATAAAGTGGTGTTAAAAACATGCTTTTCTTACCATTGGTTTCAGTTTGTATGGTAAAGTTAAAAACAAAACCAGCTAAGGTGTTCTGACTATTGACCAAATTAATATAAAGTTGATCAGTTGGTGTCAAAGTAAATGTGGTATGATATGGATAGTTTTGACAGTTGTATTCGCTTGTTTTAGTCTTCAACATCAATTTTTTCTGACAACCAGCAGGATTCTGAGTTGCTTGAAAAGTTACAGTTGAATCCTCATTGTCGTTAACAAGATTGACTGAACATCCACAAGATTCGCCACCTCTACGTGTCCCACTTAGACTAACTAGTTCTCCAATCTGGGTTTTATTAGAACAAATTTCAACACTTGATACTGGAAAGATAACATAATAGATAGAATAAGCAGATAACTGGAATTTAAGAATTGTTAAAAAATAGTTTCTACGATCATGTTTGAATTTTAATTTTTTCAGTTTTCTCTGGAATAAACAAACCAAGTACCAACGATCTGAACCGCAAACGAGACCCGAAATCCGGGCAAAAAGTTTGTCTGGAGTGTGGGGTCAGACTGCTTTGCCGGAAAAAGAACTGGCTGGGTATGACCAATCATACCACGATACGATAAGTAGGATACGAAGTAATTAATTTATAGCTTTATAACTGTGATATTTAGTGAAGTAGTAGATATGAGTTATTGTCGACTATCTTATAAATAGTTATCAGAATTTCGGTCAAGGTTTTTGAAACATTTGTGATTCTATTCGCCGACTTATTAAATATCTGCTCTTTTTAAGGAATGAGAGGTAATGCGACATCGCGATACGATACGCTCCGTGGGATTTATCGTTAAGTATCGATACACGACCTCGTGATATGAAAGGCGTATGGTGACATATCATATCGCGATACATCGATTCACAGCTATGTTATGTCAACACTAAGCGTACATCATACTATTTGTAGCTAAAAATCAATGCATAGTAACAGATCGTTTCAAATAAATAGAATTAAATCATAATTCAACAAACAAATAAGGTAAAAAGTGCACAAAAATCATGAATAAAACATGTCCTTAATCATCGTACCGTGTGATTCAATTATATTAATTTTAATATTACACACTAGCATCTTTATCATAAACTAAACACTTTTATTTTAAATATAATTAATTCTTTGGGGTAGGGTACATGCCCAAAACAAACATATTTAGAAATATACTTAATATCCACATTCTTAAAGTGATTGTAAAGAGGTTTCCTAAATTTTGTTATGTATCGGGGACACTGATGGAATCAACTTGCACCATTCCAGTTTCTAATCAGACGTTTGTAGTTCCTGAAATTCCAATAAAATTAAGTGTTGTATGACGTCACTAATCGTGAAGGGTCTTATGTGATAAAGCATATTTTGCGATCAGTGACGTCATCAAACACTTCTTTTTTGTGGAATTTCAGGAACCACAGATGTCTGATTGAAAATTGGAATGGTGCAAATTGATATTTCAATGTCCCGGATACAATTTTAAAATTGGGAAACCTCTTTACAATCCCTTTAAGAAAGGCTTAAAAACTTCAATCGTTCAAGAAATATATTTTCAGTATACAGTATTGTTAAAATGACTCGAACTAATTTTCTCACGAACGCCTCATTGAGGGACTGATCTAACAGCGTTGTTTAATTTTGGTTGTGACTTTTGGTGAACGAAGGGGCGCTGCAACACGTTATCGAGGTAAACGCCACAAATTACCAATATGCTGTAACTGTACATACAAAAAAACTATATGTTACTTTAACCTACCTGTACTAATCATAAAAATTAACTTGGCGATATTCACCAATAAAACACGTAAGACTCCCATAACTTTTAGAATTTCTTGTTTTTCCTTTCCTTTCCTTTTCTTTTCAAACTATTCTGTCGACATGTTTAATAACTTACATTTGATGATGAACTCTCGACTGAAATATACTTTGTGTATCTATTGAAGTGTCATATTTAGGTATGCAATATGATATATATATAATATGAAAATATGGATGGCCAGTACAATATCATCGCATTTACTTCCTTGTTAAAAACCCGGTATGTATTTTAAGAAGTCGGGTATGTGTAGAAACACACCAACTCACTTCAAACATTTGCGTGAATATAATAAGATAGATAACAAAAGAACAAACGAGGCGAAGCAAATAAAACATTACTTGAAGGGATAATACGATAACTTGTACAATATGGTATATTTAATGATGCGGGCACATGCACAGTTTTTGTGGCCAACTTTTGTTGACTTGAGTAAAATCCACGACAATTCAGGTGAAAATTAAAGTTTTTATTTAATTCAAAATAATAAATGGAAAATGTCGTATGTGAGCCACTGTACAATGCGGTATATGAGATGCAGCGGACACACGCACAGTGATTGTCGTCGACTTTTTGTCACTGACTTTTGTAACATCTCACGTGTGCCCGCAAATCAGTTTGATTTTGTCTGAATGTTTTTTTACAGACTCCACAGAGCGTCATCATCCAATCAGATTTATTTTCCATTCAATAGCGTGATCATCTCGGTGATTATCGGCGTGTGCCCGCATCCGGTCGGTGAAACTCATGACTAGACTTAAGTCAGCAACAAAGACGGTATAAGGAGCATACAGTTTCATAATGATGATTCATATTCATAATAACAAAATAGTAATATACAACAAATAAAGAAGCAGAATTATGGAACTGGATTTGTAGCTCAAGCGTTGGATCAGCGATTTCTTTCCAAAATTTCACTGTATCCCTTTAAGAAAGATGTTTAAAATAAAATTGAGTCATCAAAAGAAAATGTTATAATTTATCTCTTGAGTCAGTTTCTTCTTCCTCTTCGGTAATCACTCGACGAAAGCTGGAGCAAAAAATAAAAAAATAGCACGTTTCATCATTTGCACCAAGATATAATGGCTTAAGGGCGAGGCTACAAAGTTTCGCGCTATAAAACAGCCACTGTGGCTTCCCCATGTGTTTAGAATTTTAATTCCTGAATTCCTGATAAATAAAAAGGTTTTTTTCCAAACGATCTTATTTTGTTGCTAATATTGGGGTATGTGATATTATTAAGCAGATGATGGAAACTGACATGATATACTGTTGTTACCATTGATAAAACATAGTGTTTGATGACGGTTACTGAAAGAGAAGGGCCATGGTTTCAAAAACAGTTCGATCTACTTTTTAATGAATTATTTCCACTCTTGATAAATATCTTAAAATATACTGAGTAAATGTAGGATATTCAAATATTTTTCTAAAAATTATTATAAATTCTTGAGTCGTGAAAATTAACTCTGAATATCCAACAAGGCGACATTAAACTTAAGTCTATTATAAAATCGTGATGCAGTTTGTATAGAGATATTATATAACAAGGATGCTCATTAAAGTTTTAATTCTTTTCGTACATTTTACAGTGTCAAATTACATAAAATTATTTTTTGACTTTGAGTAACAAGGTGTTTTCTTTATCAGCATAAATTTTAGCTTATCATTTCAACATTTCACAAAGGGCGGTTGGGGGAGGGGGATAACAACCGTCTTCATTGTAATATCCCCTATTGTGGTAAAAACCCCTATTGAAATAACAACCCCTATAGTGGTAACAGCCCCTATTGTAGTATCGGCCCCTATTGTAGTATCGGCCCCTATTGTGGTATCAACCTCTATTGTAATAACAACATCTATTGTGGTAACAACCTCTATTGTAATAACAACCTCTATTGTAATAACAACCTCTATTGTAGTAACAACCTATATTGTAGTAACAACCTCTATTGTGGTAACAGCCCCTATTGTGGTAAAAACTCCTATTGTAGTAACAACCCCTATTGTGGTATCGGCCCCTATTGTGGTAACAACCTCTATTGTAGCAACAACCTCTATTGTGGTGACAACCCCTATTGTAGTAACAACCCCTATTGTAGTAACAGCCCCTATTGT